AAATATTACAAACGGCCTATTATTAAACCTTTAGAAAGATCATTTAGAAAGACCAAAACATATTTTATTTATCCTAGTCACATATATATAATTTTTATTATAAAGGGGAATTAATTATATTTAATCTAATATGAATATATTTATTATATGACAGGGGGGAAGCGTTACAATAAGAAGGCGAAGATGGATCATTTAATATGGAAAAAAGTACAAGTAATATTCTGGAGTTGCGCCTCTGCCGGATTGTAAGCCAATTTAGCTTAGATCTGTATTGAGAAATATGATCATACTTACGAAGCCCAAAGATAAATCTTATACAGTTATTGAGGTTGCGTTCCAGCTTGTTCAGATCTTGGGACAGGTCTGGGTAACATACATCTGCATAATCAATTATGGGTAATATAAGTGATTGGACAAGCATGATCTTAGATTTTGTGGGAAGAAAATGTTTTAAACGATACAGAGAGCATAACGTGGCAGTGACTTTACGACTCACATCTGAAACCTGAGTTCTCCAATTCAGCGTGCTGTCGATGTGAAGGCCAAGATTTCTAACAGAATTACTGAATGGAATTGTAGTATTATCATAGTAAATAGGAGGTAAGTCTGTCAGATTAATCTTAGCCAGCATCCTTGAGCTACCCACCAGTATTAGCTTGGTATTTCAAAGGATTGACCAAAACTCCATAACGAGTAGACCAATCCTTGATAGCTGCTAAGTTGCCGTTAAGGTTTTTGATCCCATTATGGATATCCCCAATCTCAGTTTGCACATAAAGCTGAAGGTCATCGGCATATAAATGGTACGAGCAGTCGATGATGGAGGTAATAAAGTTTATAAAAATTGAAAACATTATAGGAGAAAGAATACCGCCTTGCGGCACACCAGCATCCACATCAGCCCAAGCTGAGGACAGTTGCCCCACAGTCGACCGCGAAGATAAGATGCAAACCAATCCAATTCAGTAGGGCCAAAATTCAGATGAGACAGTATGGAAAGAAGGATTTCATGATCAACTGTGTTGAAAGCATTTGAGAAATCAACTAGTACCAGTACTGTTTTTTTTTTCTTCCATGCCTTGTTTAATATTATCCATAACATTAATTAATGCAGTAGTGGTACTATGACCAGGACGAAACCTAGACTGATATATACTCAGTAGGTTATGTTTCGAAATAAAAGTAGAAATTTGCTTGTAAACACAGGATTCTAAAATTTTGGAGAGAAAGGGTAGAATGGATATTGGACGAAAATGATTGGGATGAATGGGAGTAGGAACTTTTGGGAGAGGCTTTACAAAAGCCTTCTTCCAAAGATTAGGATACTGACCTGAACCAAGGGAAAAATTGATTATATGGGAAATTGCCGGGAGAAGGTGCTCTAGTATAAATACAACCATATGTCTACTAATTCGTCGTAACCCACGGCTTTGGACTGGAATGCTAAAATCGACTTTTTGACATCATCCTGAGAAACAGGAGAAAAATTAAAGGTAGGAATGTTGGGAATTTGCATAGAAGCCATGGAAGCCATAGTTTGGGAACGAATTGTAGGGTCCAGTGCTTTTACAGAAGCGAAATGTTGGTTGATTTCATCAAGTGACAGAGAAGTACCACAATCCAACGTAGCTGGTCTACAAAGACCGAAAGATTTTAGGAATTTCCACACTAAAACTGGAGAAGAATTATTAATACAGTTATGGAAATATTGGCGTTTAGCTGCATGTACCATCTGATTACACCTATTCCTGGCTGCTTTAAAAGATGTCCAATTTTCTTCAGTTCGATCTCTCTTGAAACGAAGAAAAGCACGATTTCGTCTAGCCATTGCCATCTTTACGCCCTCTGTCATACAAGGGGCAGGGAGACGCTTCAATCTAACCTTGTGAACAGGAGCATGAGCATCATAAAGGCTAAGAATATTGTGGTTAAGGATAGTGACTTTATCGTCAACAGTAGATGCTGCTATTAAGGAGGCTAGATCAAGATTAAGAGCGTCATTCCTAAGCTTGTCAAAGTCTATTTTAGAAAAACTGCGAAGATGCATTACAGTAGGGGAATATTTAGGAGGTTTAAGCTTATACGATACATAAATTAAGTCGTGGCGTGAGAAACCCAAAGCGGGTAACTGTCCATGCATCATCACATGTTCAGGAGAAGCAGCAAGGATTAGATCAATCAATGAGTCATCGGTTCCGATATTATGATGAGTAGCCTTTAAAGGGAAAATAGAAAGATTAACCGACTCAATTATTGAAAGAAACCTTTTGGAAAGAGGGCAGTTTTTCAACAGATCAGTATTGAAATCACCCATGATTATACAGTGAGTGTACTCAGAACATATATCAACAAGAGCCATATCTAAAGTGGCGAAGTAGTCGGTAGATGGGGGGCAATACACTACCCCTAGAAGCATCCTGATGCCCTTGACATAGAGTTCCACAAATAAAAACTCGGAAGAAGCGGAATAGCAGGAGGGAGATGCTAAGACAATTTTATAAGGAATTGATGCGTGTAGGTAGATTCCTACACCACCTCCACCTTTTCCAACACGATCATTCCTAACAAGTACAAAGCCGGGTAAGTGATAAAAAGTTGACGGTAAAGAAGGTTTCAGCCAACTTTCCGACACTAATATAGCATGAATATACTCGGGAAAAAATGAAGCTTCAAGTTCGGAATAGTGGCTCGGGATACTTTGAGCGTTAATATGACATATGTTCACAGAGTTGTTAAAAGACGTAAAAACTCCTTTGAGTAGTTCGTGTAAATTAAGCACGCTATCGTTGAGAGAATCATTACAAGAGTAAAATGACAAAGTAGAAGAATCATTTGCAGAGCTGAACGACTCAACATCAGACATATTACATATACTAAAATAATAAATAAATTAAGTAAATATATAGAAAAATAATAAAAAAGTAAGTTATGTAAACTATAACTATTAACTAACAATTACTAAACATAAACATCACCAACCCATCAGTTCAATGTTTACAGAGTAAACTTAATATAAATAAATTTTATATACAAACTTATGATCTATAATATCTAAAGTGGCAAAAATAATCTTGACTAATAATAATGTTCCTAAGTAGATGTCACACAAAATATTACAGGAGAATGTTTACCAAGAGAAAATCGATTAAAGCAAAGTATAAGATCGACGTTGGCTGTATGATACATGTGTCCTTTGTTTATAAAAGGTTAAAAAAAATTATACATAGTTGTCATTGTCAAATCAATCAAATCAAAACCCAAAATTTAACAAAAAGAAAATCAAATTAAAAATATGTGGTAGGTACATTTATAAAAGGATAAGTATTGTTACCAATATCAAGCTTAGTATAAACAAACCTACTAAGTAAGAAACCTCAACTAAGAAACAAAAGAAAACTAAACGCAAGCAAGTTATGTATTACAAGATAAAATCTCATTAAGTTTATATTTAGATTCCTATGCAGACTATACTATTTGAAGAAAACAACTTAAAAAAAATTGCAATTATACTGCTGTAAAAAAGTGAACAACTTATGACTACAGTACAGACAATATTGTTCTGTGCTAGTCATTACAACCAAGACGATGCGGGACTAAACACTTAAATATATGTAAATCAATAATAAAAACAAGAGATTACAAAAATAAAGGATACCTAGGAATACCATATGTAAATTAAGCAAGCTATTTTTTAGCAATTAAACGGCGGGACCTTTTGGAATTCTCTTTCTGCACCACCACACCAACTTCATTGCGAGGAGAAGTCTCGCACAGAATTTTTGTGCATGAAGGACTTTGCAGTGCTTGTATGGGTTTCTTTACGCTATTAGTAATACTGCTGTTAGAAGCCATGCTAAGACTTGCTGATGAAAAATCAACAGGAAACTGTTAAATGAGAGTATCAATCTCCTCTTCAGTGAAGATTTTTGCCCGTTCATTATTGGGAAGTTTGATAAAAATTTCTTCATCTAAGGTCCACACATTCTTCATTTCAAAATGCTTGCGGGCTTTTTTAAGTACAGATTGCCCCATTTTAGTTAAAAACTAAGACACAGATATTTGAGAGCCCTTTAACTTAGTTTTAGCTGTCCACACTTCAGACTTTGTGTTATGCTCTTGAAATTGTACAAGAATTGGACGTGAGCGACCATCCTTTTGAGCACCAATTTGATGGCAACGTACTAAGGACACATTTGTAACATGTGGGATACCCATTTTCTTATGTATGATACCCAGTATTTCTTGTTCAATATTAACTTCTGGGGAGTCAGAGATCCCATTAAATAGAAGGATATTCTGTCTGTGCTGCATATCAATAGCATCAATTGACTTAGTGCAGGCTTGAATTGATTGAGGAGGAAGGAGATTGAGCATGGAGCAAACGACGTCCTTGAATTCATAAAACTCCTCGCGGAGTTGATTAAGAGAGGGATTAGTAGGTGTGTAGGCAGCCTTTAATCTGTTTTCAAATTCAGCCATTTTGCGACTCCAGCTTCCTTCAAGTTCTCTTTGCATGACCTCCACATCAGTTACTTTTGCCATTTCTTCCAATATTTGCTGTGATATTAGTGAACACAAAGTGAAGTGCTAATGAGTGATATAGTTTGCAGAAACAAAGTGACACTAATGGGTGGTATGTGAATGTCACAAATATTTTATCTGGACATATATTTCAATAGGACTTCAAAAGAAAAGGTAATAAAGATGTAATTGATATGTAAATATAGTCCAAACACTGGTTTAAAATAATTTTAAACTATATAAAATATAAGAGCTAATAAGTCAGCTGTTACTTGTTACACACCTACCCACGAAAAAAAAAGATTGTACTCTAGAAAATTCTTTGAGTATACGACATTCGAGTATACTCGAGTAAATTTTCGCAAAAGCATTAGTCCAGAGGAGAAATTATTCATAACTCTGAGGTAAGAATAAAACAATATTTTATTAAAATTAACATTTATGTAAAGTAGTATAAGTATAAAGTTGTCATAATGAAATTAATAATTACTATGGTCGTAGTTTCTACTAGAATATTCTCCATAGTTATCCTCATATCTCGGATCATGAGAAAACTGTATCCTCTCTGCTTCGTCTATTATAACTTGGGTAATTTTATTTTGAATGCGTAACTTTTGTAATTCATTAAATTGTTTCACTTGTGGCAGGAGACTCATAAAGAAATGATAATCGCCACATTTCTCCGATTGGTCACTATTAGACGCCATTTTTTGTTCAATTAGCGAAATTTTTTTTCTTTCACATTCTATAAGATCATCTCTATAATTCGAGGCTGTTTTGCGCTTTGACGTGTTTGTGCGACTGCTGCAGGATGAAACACCTGGACTCATTACGTCAGTGTTTTCTTGCTCGGCATGATTTGACTCGTTGAGGGATTCCGAATCACTGTCCTGAAGATTTCCTGTCATCACTTCTGGTGTAATGTCATCGTTTATAAACTGAATTAGTTGAAAGTATGGCCACATACTCTCTATTTCCTCGCCACCGTTACCAGAGCCAAACTGATCGCGCAGATTCTTCCACTTCTTACGCAATTGTTTTTCTGTAACAATAACATTATATTTTTATGTGTTTTGTTTCAGGTTTTTGTCAACAGGAACTGCATTTAGAGCACTGGCTTACAGTTTTCATATGAAACTTGCCGTGTTTTCGTATGAAAATTGTCGTTCACGAAACATGCCGTGTTTTATGGACCGAGTTAGTTTCTATTCACATGCCAATACCAACGGAACAACATCTGAAAACTATTGCAGACGACTTTGAAGCCATCTGGAATTTTCCGAACTGTATAGGATACTGTATAGGTAGAACAATTGATGGCAAACATTGCGAAATAAAAAAACCACCTAAGTCTGGTTCGGCACATTGGTGCTATAAAAAAAGAAATAGTGTTGTAATGCAAGCTGTGGCTGATGCAAAAAGGAAATTTGTGACAATCGAAGTAGGCGGTCGAGGCAAGCAAAGTGATGGTGGTACTTTTATTGCATCAACGCTATATAAGCTTATAGAAAAAAAAGATACAAAATTCCTATGCCAAAGAGACTTCCGAATTCTGACGTCATTGCGCCCTACGTTCTAGTGGGTGATGAAGCATATCCGTTAATGCATTCTTTAATGCGCCCTTATCCTGAGCGAGTACTCAATAATCTGAAACAAAATGTTTTAACATCAGATTATCTACCCCTAGACAAACAATCGAATGCGCATTTGGTATTTTAACATCTATATGGAGAATACTACTGAAACCTATCGAAACAAACAGAAAAAATGCCTTGTCTATTATAAAAGCTGCGTGTATACCGCATAATGTCATAATGGATTTAAACGGCGATCTCGATCTGAATGTCCAACGTGTGCTATCTAATCCGCCAATATATGAAAATCGCCACAGAAGCATATGATAGGTTATTATTTACTCCAAAATAATAACCTATCACGAAGAGCAAAAAATGTTCGTATAAAATTCACAAACTATTTCTGGGAACAATATCAAAGATTGTAATTTGAGTGCATTATTTAATAAAGTAAAATAATATAATTATTAAACTTACCTTCGCTTTCAGGAAATTGTTCTTTTATTTCACTTCATAATTTTCTTGTTATTGTGCGATTACAGTGGTGGGGATGTTTACTTTGCCATAAAGCTGCTTTAGATTGAATCGCACATATAATCACTTCAGTATTTATCGCCATTTTAACAAATATAATGAAGACGCGCTTACGCCGAGCGGTAAGACCGAACTGGTTTGATACCCCCGCACCCGCGCATTGGATCGCTTGCTGACTAGGCCTGTAGTGTGGCAAAACGCGCGGATAGGAACGTTTGAAAACTACGCGCGCTATCTCGCTCATGCCCATCGCGCTAGGCGTCCGCCTTAGTCACTACACTATGGACGCAAACAGCGGTTTCATATGTTTGATACCTCCCACCGAACTATCCCCATACCAAAATTCATGCCATGCCGACACTCTGTTGCGACGTGAAAGAAGGACAAACTTTTGCAACATATTCTATTTTCCCACGGGAATGAGGCTGTAGAGTGTAGAGTGACATAGGCTACTTTTTCCGCGGAAAAACATCTCATTCCCGTGGGAAAATAGAATATTTCCCATTTATAATATTAGTATGAATGTAATGGGCTCCTATCCTGCTACCATATCAGATGCAGATATCATTAATCATGAGTTTCGTGGCTCTAGTTCAGTGCTACGTAAATACTTTCAAGCTAGTGATGCATTCATTTTGGATAGGGGCTTCAGAGATTCCTTGCCGTTATTACATGAATGTGGTTATAGAACTTACGTCCCACCAACACTGCAGGTGGATGAATGGCAGCATTCCACAATAGAGAGCAGTCACCATATGCAGATGGGTTGTTGATGTAGTTAAGGGAAGATTTAAAAGAGAATTTAAATTATTTAGACGAGACTATTTTAATACTGCTTTGATGCGTTAAATGATAGATTTTGAGGTGGTAACTACTGGCTACTAAATGCTTTACCCCCTCCTATTACAAATTGTGTTGATGCTGGGGATATTTTACAAATAATCAATGAGAACATGAACAAAGAAAACGGTTTAGGCTGTTACGTAATTGAAAATAATATAAACCGAAGTAGAGCTGATTTTACAAGAATTCATGTGCAAAATGATAACTTAAATGATTTTCCCCAGTTCACACATAGTGATTTAATAAAAATACCCTTAGGTATTTATCAAATCATATCATATATCAATATTATGAAGAACACATACGACAAGATGTGAGATATAAAATAGAAGTGTGTCGAGAAACGGACAGCAACCTAAGAGAACTGTCAATAACCAATCCTTCTAGCTGGCTAATAAGAAGTAGAATAAAATCGAGACATGAAAGCTCAAAAACAAATTTTACATATATTTTGGTTGACAGTTCTCTTAATGGTAGAGAGGTCATCAAACAGTATTATTGTAATTACTTGGTAGGAAAAAGAACAGTAAATTGCTGTTATTATGTAATGTCCATAATATGGTACCTCAGCTGGGCAAGACCTCTAAGGTATATTAATCCTGTATAATATAGTAATATGTAATAAATTATGGTAAAATCTAGTTTACAATAAAATCTAATAATTATTTTCTTCGTTTAATGTGAAAGCTTAGTGTAAGAATAACATTGTAAGCATAATATAAGCAACTACATTGTTTATATACAAACCAATAACATCCAATTTTTTTTCTACCATGAATCAGTCGTAAACATTTTAGTTAAAAAAATGGTATTAGTATATAAATAAAATAATGCAGTAATCGTTACTGTAACATCAGGTTCGGCCTTTTATGAACTTTCGCCCGTCTTCTTTGATGGTATTGGTGTAAAAAAACTTTCCAGCGTCGCTTTCCTTGCTTCCGTGCATAGTGTCAATGACTTATGTAGCAATAATTTTAAATAATAAAATAGACCTATGCTTTGCTGCGGCGACAAGGCAAATATGGCTAACGCTCTGTTCGCCGCGAAAATGTTCCACTGGAAGTTAACAAACAAAACAGTGAGATTGAGAGGGCGAGTATTATGATGAGAATTGCTCAAACAAGCGAAAGGTAAAGACTGTAGAAAATCGGTGAAAGGGTCAAATTATTATACCCGTTTGATGAATGCATCCAAACACAAAAAGTAAAATAGTACGTTATGTATCTGGATATATATCAAGACAATTATCAAAAGTTACAATGTGAAGATTGCATTGACAGTTTCACTACACCAAATAAACTCCACATCACACACTTATAACTATAAAAGACATGAGTGGTCTAAGTTATGTTGCAGAAGACGTGAACATAATATGCTTAGCTACGGAAAATACCGTATTAAATTACGTATGACGTAATTTAATACGGCAAAGCTGGAAGTACTGCCTCTAAATATGATTTTAGTTATATATGCACGTAACAATGTATGATACTGACCATTGTAATTTCATTTAATGTATTTAACTCATACTGATGTAAATTCTAGCTTTCGACACTCCTTCTCTATATAAATTATGACTATGCCACATCTCACATTTCTTCGTGCACGGAAAATGCTTAAGAATATTGTTACGCGCTCCAATGCCTCAAATCGGCGCACTAGCGCCATCTAGTCTCGAACCGAAGAACTAAACTTCTTGAAGTTTAAAACTCGAACTCTCGGTACCTTGCGCGTGTTTACTTGAACATTCTGGATATTTTGCTAATTTATATAAGTAGGCGCTGCAAGATGCGATCGAGGCAGAGTTGAACTCGGCGACACAAGCGAAGCTTCGGAGCGGAATTAAGTGAATTAGTGTGTTTAATTATTAGTGTTTTTAGTTTTAATTTGTGTAAAGTAAATTAAAGTGTTAATTTAGGTAATTTTATCGGCAATTTTTATTGTCACGAACCTCAAGCGCGTAACAATTGGTGTCAGAAGTGGGATAAAATCATGCCGATTTTACCTAAGGAGGAAACGGAGGGTGTCCGTACCCGAAATCAACGCCAGCAGGAGACGGACCAAAGAAGATTTGGTGGTGCAACGCCGCAGACGTCGGAGGGCCAGCCGCCGGCTGCAGGCCCGTCAGTAGCTCCTACATCTGCAGCACCCGATTTAGGTGCTCTGATGGTGATGCTGCAGGAACAGGCCCGCCGACAGGAAGAGCAGATGCTCCTCGTGAAGGACATTCACGCTAACTTCGGGAAAGAGATTAGGGAGGTGAAGGATAGGGTTGCTCAACATGACAACCGCCTGTCGGAAGCTGAAACCCAAACCAAGGAAGCTAAAACCCAAATCGACCAAGTAAACAATCGGGTTGATTACGTGATGGCTGACGTGAAGAAAACGCTGGACGACCTCAAACTGGGGGATGGAACTACAGCTCCCGTAGTAGCTACTACACCTTCGCTACGTGGGTTCAAGGTGCCACCATTCGACGGGACTTCTTCCTGGTCAGCCTACAAAATCCAGTTCAAGGCTGTTATGAAGGCGAACGGCTTGAATAAAAGTTAGGTCATGACTGCTCTCACACTAGGCCTGCGCGACCAGGCCTTAACAGTTCTGGAAGCTCTCGGTGAGGAAGTGACTTATGAGCAACTCCTTGAGGCATTGGAGGCGAGATATGGAGACGCTCACCTGGAACACGTCTTTCGTGCGCAGCTTAAAGATCGTGTGCAGCGCATCAACGAAAACCTGCAGCAGTGGGCTCTAGAAGTGGAGAAGCTGGTGCGAAAAGCATACCGGTCTGTACCTGCGCTCATTGAAGGGAACCTGGTGCAGACATTCATCGACGGCATCCGCGACCTGGAAGTCAGAGCTGCTGTGAGGCTCGGGCACCACGAGACGCTTAAGGACGCCTTGGCCCATGCACTGGAAGTGGAAGCCGTGCGGCAGGATCATCGTTCCCATCGCGTCAGGGAGGTTCCAGCAGCTACAGTTCGCGACCGCAACAAAGGATACAGCCCAAGGTGCTATGGCTGTGGGGAAAAGGGCCATCTTCGATCCAGGTGCCCTAAGCGAACCCTAGAAAGGGAAATTGAACGATCTCAGGAGGGTAGTGCGGCCAACAGCACCGCCCAGCAGCGGCAGGGAAACGAGTAAAAGCCAGAACTGCGGGGCGGGTGCTGGCTGATGTTAAAAGAGCCCCAAGGATCTCGATCTCACAAACCCATGATGGGAACAGCCTAATCATAAAGGGCGAGATCAACGGAATGCCATGTAAGCTGACCATAGACACTGGAGCCTCTCGTACGGTTGTTAGTTCCCAACTTATAAGTCAGTTCCTTGGAGACTCCGCATACAACCGAGAACGCATTAATTTGGTAACAGCCACCGGTCAGCGTATACCCGTCCGTGGAGAGAAGGAGATGGAGTTGAAGCTAGGCAACGTGATCTACCTGCATAATGTCATCGTGGCTGATATAATGGACGACTGCATCCTAGGCCTAGACTTTATGAGGAATAATTGTTGTGAGATCGACGTTAAGCAAGGTGTTTTGAAATGTGGACAGGAGGAACTTTTTATGGAAGGTGCGTTACCAGGGAACGTGTACAGCATCAAGAAGATTGTTCTTCCGCCGAGATCGGAAACGATTGTTCCGGTTAGTCTACCTCGAAACGCTGGGCAAACTCACCGTTGTGTACTTGTGGAAAGGGTAAACAATGACCTTCCATGGAAAGTAGCTCGAACCTTGGTCAGGACCACTGACATCTCAGGAGTACGTGTGCTGAACCTTTGCGACCGGGAGCAGATTATAGAAAAAGGCACACTGGTTGGTACTTGTGAGGAAGTGGATTGGTTACGTCAGTGCCAATATATATCGAGTGGGACCCCCAGCAAGGATTCAGAAACGAGAGTGACCACACTTTTGGAAGACTGTCGCAGTGTTCTCTCCCCGAACGAATTGGTCAAGGCGAAGAAGTTGTTACTCAAGTACGCCGATGTATTCTCATCAAACGATGCTGACATAGGAAAGACTGGCTTAGTTCAACACAAAATAAACACAGGAGAAGAATTGCCTATCCGTCAGCGGCCAAGACGATTGCCGGTAGCACGTGAAAAGGAAGTGGAAACCATGATTGAGGGAATGGTGAAGGATGGTGTTATTGAACCTTCATCTAGTCCATGGTGTTCACCAGTGGTGCTGGTGAAAAAGAAGGATGGCAGCATGCGGTTTTGTGTTGAGTACCGCCGTCTGAACGACGTTACGAAGAAGGACAGCTATCCCTTGCCAAGAATTGATGACACGCTGGACATGCTTACAGGAGTAAAGTGGTTTAGCACGCTGGATCTAAAAAGTGGCTACTGGCAAGTTGAAATTGACCCTAAGGACAAGGAGAACACTGCGTTCTCGACGGGAAAGGGTC